TCTATAGACGAAAAATCTTTAATCTAACTAATACTTCCCATATTCAAAAATTGCTGAATAAATAAAATCATTCTAAAAATGTAAATTCTTGAAATCTCTCAATAATTATGAGTTTTCTAAAAAGAATATATAGAAAGAAAATAACATCTTAAGAATATTCTAAGTGATAGAAATTCTCTTTAAAATCGAATTATCGTCAATTTCTATTTTCTAAAAATTATTATCGAAATTTTATATATTATTTATATATCTTTTGAATTTCTTATAATATATATTATTCATATAAGTCTCTTATTAATATCTCCAAAATTTCTATTATTTATATATTGAATGAATAAAAAATCATTCTTATCGGTATTTATTTTATTATATCTCTCTCTGTTGTTGAATTCAGAGAGCCCAGGCAACACCTGACAAATAACCATTTTAATATATTCCATCAACCACTATTTTTTCTTAAATGAAATCATAGAAATCATAGCATGCAAATCAATGAAAAATTTTCCTTAGAAAGCGTACAAATTATGACAATTGCTATATCGCACCTCTTGCGCTCGTAGAACCCAAATAGCAACAATATGTCTAATAGTCTCTCGGAGTGGTGTTATACTATATTAATATAGAAATCTATGGGCACCAAAGTGCAGGTTCCCTAAATATTTGGCAAATATCCTTCAGGGGTGGATCGCTACTGCTTTCAGTCGACAAGGATTATTGATATCCAATCAACCGGACCAACTCGCAAATCATGTGAAAAGCTATCAAGTTATATCTATGTGAAAGATTATCAAGTTATGAAGCTATTTTGGCCTAGTCTGATTTGATCTATGCATGATAATGCCACAGTGGCGGTTTCCGGGGCAGATCCGGCGATGTTACACAGACTAGACTCATGAAGATTTGTTCCATTGGGTGGATGATCCATTCGGGCATAGTTTCTAGGTGTTCGTATGCCGGCTCGTCAAGAAAACATATCGGCATACGATCGACCACAACAGTGAAACGTGAACGGTCCCTCGGCCTACTTCTTGCGTGATCGCAGAAAAGCGAAGGCGGCGAGTGCCGCCCCAATGGTGCCCACCTTGGTTCGTCAAGCCCGCGGAAAGTTCTAAAAATTGCTTCAGCAACCACAGCGTAAACATGGGAACTAATTTCGCCGAACTGCAAGCAGCACGGCGGCAATTACAGGTTGCGAAGCTGATGATTTCGCTGCTTCCTGGCACAGCTTTCGAAGCACTGGCTAGAACATCAAACAAGCTCGATTCAAGGCAACATTCGGTGCGCTCTGCCTGAACCTCGGGATTCGGTATTCCTTGATCTTCAGTCCAGCCCGCTCCACGATGACCTTCGACCTGATGCCCGAGCACAAGCCCATCCGTTTGCCAAAGCTAGCTTCTCATTGCATGCTTGGTCTATGCCAATGGGAAGCCCTCAGGCTAGTTGGTTGAGTTGTCGAACGCATGCGTGCCAAAGGGGCACCTCAGAGCATGTTTCTTTCATTGAGCAGGCCTTGTGTATCATTGAGGTTGACTGATCGTTTGATTCTCCATAAACACTCTGATTAAGCAGAATGAAGACATCCACCATCCCTGGGCATCCAAGTTCTTTCATGAAAACTTGATCTGGCAGGTCCACTCATCCCAGCTGTTCTTGAACCCAAGAGACTTCTAAGAAGTGGTGATGATCTTGATGCTTCGCGATGGTTTCCCGCTGCATTGCTTCTGCACGCGCAAGCTTTCGCTCAGGAGGCCAGGTCACACGCAGTTGGATCAGAGCTGGGTGCGATGTCATGGCATGCTGCGACCCGAAACAGTGTGGAAGACTGAACGGCCAACAAAAGTGGGAGGTAATGCAAACAAGCAAACAGTTGCCTAAAGAACAAGCTCAGCTGGGGACTTGTTGTTCACAGCCCTCCAATATGCCCTTCAGGACAATCGCTTCCTCAGCTCGAGCCTGTTCCGAGTGGAGGGCATCCTGCGCCAAACATTGTGCTGGCATAGCCGCATAGCTCTGACTCCGACCACAGGTGCCTCGAACTCTCCGGAAGCATCCCTGCCAGCAACATCCTGCAGGAGGTGTGCACCTGGACGAGGGATCTGGTCTCCGCCACTGCTCAAGCTTCGACGGTTCCGATGGAAGACGTGTGTGGCCTCCTGGGTGATCAGGCATGAACTTGGAAACGTCGTAGACCAAACCATGAATCGCCATCCAAACATCGCCTTCGGAGTTGTGCTTCTTCAGTTCTTCATGGCTCACGACCTTCATGGTCGTGCGCAGGACACGGCACCGCAAGCCTGAACCCTCGCAGCTACAGGTGAAGCCCCCCCTTCCACGGAGAGACCATACACAATCACAGCACGCTGTCATCACAAGACCAGCACTTTCGCTAGCTGCCCGCCACCCCGCAAGACTTGCAGGGCTGCAAATCGATTGGTGCTACGGTAGATGGGGCAAACCTTGCACTACCCAGATGCTGGCTCATCATGACATCGCTCAGCATCGCCAGAACTCCGCATCCGCTTTCTAATTCTATCGGTTCTAAACAGAGCAAGCAGCAAACTCTCTTCATTCGTCCTGACCACTTCAACTGGTACCAGTCAGCAGCATTCAAACCGAGTTTCGGAGAAGCTTCTGCGAGTGATTGCGTTTTGGAGTGACGTGCCTCCAAAGGCTTTTGAACAACTGTTCTAAAGGCTGGGCATGCGGTCCTGAGTCCTAATGCTTAATTAACACTGCGCAACACAAAAGACAGCACGCATGGAATTAATGCATGCGAAACGGATAGAACAGTAGACCACCTTACTGGGGGCCTGGGCGATAGAATGCTGTTTCTGCAGCATTTCCGGTGTTACCCGTGGGGAAAAAATACTGAACATTATGCAAACATGCTTTCTCACGGCCACCATGAACTGTTTCTGTAAGAACTGCGCACCAGCTTTGTACACTGTCGGTGATATGCCCGAGCGACTGGAGAAAGAATTTCGTCAATGGAACCCGGTACAATTCTGGGAACTGGATCTTAGGGTAAACAGGGGGTGCGGGACTGGTGCTGGTTATCCTGGTGCAAGACTTCCTCCGTCAGCAGTAGCATCATGCACACTGGTTGCCACAGGTCTCCGCTGCAGCCTGCTGCCCACCCCATTTTTGTCCGGCGCCGGCCGGTGCGCCAAGTAAGTGCAAGGAGTTATCCGAAAAGCTGCATTACCTCGTCCAGCCATAAGGCTAAAAAGCTGGTTCGCATCCGACTACCAGGTCCATTTCTGCTTTCTTGCGCTTTTCCTACGGACCTTCTTGACCGCAGGGCGTCGCTGCAGGGATTCCCCGGTCAGCGACTGTGGCTCGTTAGGTAGGACTGCACCAACCTGAGTCTCCAGCGCGTCTATATCCACACCCAGCTTTCGCGAAGCAGCGGCAAGTTTCAACAATTCAAAGACCCCGAGCTCTCCCAAGCCACTGGGGCCCAGCACCCGCAAGATCTTCTGTCGGAAGACGAGTGGCATCTCGTAGTCAACTTTGGCTAGTGCATGTAAGAGTTTCACCGCATCGCGCGTAGTCAGCTCTTCTTCGGGTCTTCCTACCAAAGAACCAAGAACTGTACCGAAAAGCCTCGCAGGGGCAATGTGAACTTTGGCAAAAGCATGTATGATGTTGATGAGCGATGGCGAATCCAAGATTGCAATAGCCCTTGTGTCACTGCTCTCGCTTTTGCAAGCTACAAACAGATCCGCAAGAGTGTCATACAAATGAGAGTCTCTGACTTGGAACTTTCCAAATGCCATCGTCAGTGCCGAAAGCTCAGCAATCGTGGCCTTCGTCAGATCACACAGGTGACGGTGAGTGACTTCCTGACTTTCTGCTGCGGTCGTAACCGTGGACCGGCGGAGCATCTGGACGGCTCGGCCAGTCAGAACAGGACAGCTGATCCCCGCTTTTGCGAGGGAAGCCAGGGTAGAACTCATCAAAGAAACATCCAAGGCATGCAAGTGACGCCGCGCTTGAACTGAGAGCAAGTCTAGCAGGGCAGTATCTTGGCTCGTAAACTTCGCAAAGCCGTAAAGAACATCTGACAGCTCTGCTGGTGTGAGTCCACCTCGGACATCCTTGTCTCGGAGCCTGCCGGCCAATGTGGCAAACATCCTTTCATGATGGACTCGCACGACGGCGAAAGCCTTTGCTGCACATGCGCAGTCGCCCGCGCTTAAAGCATTGGGCTGGCGCCCGAGCGCGTCACCGATCCCCAACAGCAAAGCCGACACTTGACGGTCACCTCGCATCCTGAAGCACGTAAATGCCCTCAGTAGCTTGCACATCTGGGGCAGCGTGAAGAACGAGAGGTGCTCCAAAGCGACTCTTGCTGCCCCATCAATAAGTTCAGCTCGACTGCCCGATTGACTGCTACTGTCGTCAAGGTCGTGCGGTAAGCATCCTTCGACGTGCATTTCTGCCAGGGAGAGCAGGGAACTGGAGAGGCATTCTGCAGTGGCACGCGATTGCCGAAGAAGCTCGAAAAGTGCGGCTTCAAGAGCTCTCAGGACACGATCATTGCGGAGCCGCAGCTGCGCATGCGAAAGTAGCACCAAGGCGAGGCTTTCGCCGTCAATCAAACCCTGCTGAGCTGCAGACACAGCCATGTCACCCAAATTGTACCTGAGCTGGTCTGTACTAACTGTAAGAGTCTCTCACTCCATCCCTACGAGCACTTGCTTATAAAACCTCATATTCAGGACGAGCAGATCCTTACGGCAAGAAGCATGAGCTCATTGTCGTGGTGACGAACAGATACTGCAGCAACTGCAAAAGAAGCCAAATCTTGAAGTTTTGCGTCGCTCCCCAGAAGCCGCTGAGCGTGTAAACTGCACTGCCTCCAGAACTGAGGATCTGTGTGATTGCTCTGGGCAGCGCTGCGGGCCACCAACAGCAGAGTCGCAGAATCGTGTATGCTCCCAGGCTTATACACTAAGTGTGCAGGTAATCCAGGCCCGTCCGCCGCAGTAGTCGAAAATCGTCGCGACAGAGAAGCAGCGTGGTGCAGAGTTTTCGGAAGTTGTCTCACTAGTTGCTCAGGTTTGCCACCAACTCTCCGCTGCAGAATAAACTGGCAATCGAAGGTTTTGGCCGTCTTCTTTGCCCGAAACGCCAGCATGTTCAAAGACATGCTCTCTCCTCTCGCTAGTAGACTGCATGGACGGCATGCACCACATCTGGCCAAAGGCAAGAACCACGGCGGGCTTCTATTGAGCAGTGCTTTATTGCTGAATCTGCTACCGTGCCTGCTGCTGTCATGGGACTGGCTTCAGGGAGGCACGCACGCGCTGAAAGCTGCAGATTTCAGTAGGCTCGAAACAGCGAGCTACAAGAGGTTGTCACGCGACACAAACACAGCAAATCTCGAAACTCGGACAGCTATTGAGCGACGGGCCACGGCGCTGTCGTACAGACTGTAAGCCTTCCCTTGCTGTGATACCCGCGAGGCCTCCATCCGAAACACGACTTATTGAGCCATCTGCAACAATTAAACAACGGGATTGGTACTGTCGGAAAAGCCCTGGTTGACCACATCCCTACCATTCGGTTCCCGAACCACCACGCAGGTGACTGAGGCTTGCTTGGGCAAGGGGCGGGAGTTTCTTTTTTCCGACTCCGAGATACGAGAAATGACAGGACCCTGTAAGGCATCAGTCCAAATGAAGTTCTGTCATGTGGATGGGCTCTTTCTGCAACTGGTGTCTCTTTGCATGTTGCAACAAGGATTTCAGGTTAAGGAGCCTGATTGAACTAGATGCGGTCCACTTTTGCGATTGACTTGTCACAAGTCAGATCCAGCCGTTCGATGAGACCCAAAGGCGACGTCATTCCATCAACTAGCCCCGACACAAGTTACAACAGATTCCTGACAGCATCCCCGCAAAAACAAAACCTCCCAGGTCTGGCTGACCGCTATCGTGGGCGACAAAGTCTTGAACCCTGATTCTCAGCACCAACACAATCGAACTTTGTCCCCCCTGCGATGTTGCACGTCCTGCCGATGCCCGTTCACTTCTTGCTGCTGGAGCATAAACCTATCATACCTGAGACAGTCTTCAATGTCAAATTTGTCATTCCGGAAGCGTTGTACCCCCCGTGAACAAAGACTGGCAAGACCGCTGCTGACCATGTTGCAGGGGCATACCTTTGTATAGAAACCGTAATGCATCGCACAGGTCTCCGTCCGAATGGGTACCATCCAGACCTGCGTCATTCACCTTGCCACATCAAGCCAGGACATGCTGCGTGGACACAGCGAGATTCTCCTGTAAGCTCATACCGAGACACCATCGCCAAACCTGACATGTTGTTCAAGCAGCATCTGTCCTGGTGTAATGCTGTTTAAGTCCAAAGCGCCTGCGGCTTTGAAGTCAGCGAAGCTCTGCTCACACTCGTTTGAAGACAAGAGTTCCGAAAGCAATGCGTCGCGCAGCTGTGCATAGCCTTCACCTGGGCCTTGGATGGCAAGTTATGTTCAAAAAGGGATCGGTTTCAAGCTGCGTGGTCTTCTCCTCTCACTCATCCTTCGAGCCGCTCGTGGCTTGGGCTGCGGTGGCTACGAGTACCAGATCTTCACCTTACTTCACTCCGATGCGCCCCTGTTGTGGGGCCTTGCAGGGGAGAATTAACCCCTATACATGCCGGTAAAAAGATATGGTTTCAGATCTCTCTCTTTCTTTCGCCAGGGCTTGGG